TATTTACACTATATATATAATACGATACGGAAATAGAGAAAACCTAGAGAATACTAGAAGATTCTAGAAACTTTGTAACAAATTTGCAACAAACTAAATAAAATAACCTAAGGAACATTTTAAGCTAAAATGCTATGCATCACTTTTTGTTCAAGAAGTGGGTCATATTGAAATGAGTTACAATGATATATATTTGATGAGGGCATCAGATTTCAACATGTGTACCATCGCCGGGGACGACGATCGACGGCCCTGATTCAGAGCCTTTATCTATGATGCTTTAATTCTTTTCTTTTATTAGTTATTTCATGTTTCCGTTTGTACCCCTATGAGGGATGTTTCACTTATTGTAGCCCATTATAACTCATGACTTCATAATGTAAATATTGTTCTTTTATTGAAAATAAAACATAAACTTGATTGTGAATTCTTAGCCTTCAAGATTGAAACTTATCTTTTTGAAGGTCAATTCATAGAGTGACAACTCTCATCTATCTATTTAATATTTTAACTCATATATGAAAGACAAAATCTAATTACTTTTACACTTATAGTGAAACAAATTTGGCTCAAATGCCATGAGTAATATGGCTTTGATTTTGGATCTAGGTACACTCTTAAATTTTTTTGAAATATTTGGTTTTGAGTTTTTATCTATGAGTTAAAATATCTATTCTACCGCTGCCTCAATGGATTACGAAGACATTTCAGTATCTTATTTGCTGCTACACAACCTGTGTGCCTCTTAATTCCCATTGTGCTATCTCTGTTCCTCTATGCAGCATCAATTAATAAAATAAATACAAACCGTTGATTTGTATATGATATCTTTTAGCTCACACCATTGGATTATGCATTAGAATTTCAAATGTAAACCGTTGTTTCAGATGCGACGATAACTTTGTACTAGAGCAAAAGTGTAAAAATCGATCCTTGCAGGTTCTCATTGTGTGTGATGAGAAGAAGGTGGACGAGGTAGAGGCAACGAGGGAAGAAGAAGAAGAAGAAGAGCCTGTGCATTTAGAGGTGGCTGAAGTTTCATTGAACTCGATAGTGGGATTCACCTCGAGTCACACTAAAAAAATGAGGAGATAGATAGGTGGAGAGGCAGTGGCGATTCTAATGGACAGTGGTGATACCCACAATTTTATATTGAACCAGGTGGTAGATAAACTGGGGCTATGAGAGGATTTGGAGTGATGATGGGCACATGAACGACAGAAAAGAGCATAGGGATATGTATGGGTTTAGAGGTAGAGTTTCAAGGGATTCACATCAAGAAATATATCCTTTCATTAGAGTTGGGAAGTACTGATTTGATTTTGGGAATGAAATGACTACAAACCTAGGGCGAGACCAAGGTGAACTAGAAGACATTGGCCATGGAGATCAAGGTGGAGAGGGACAATGTTGTAATTAAGGGAGATCCCAGCTTATCCAAAGCATTTATTTCTTTGAAAATTATGGTTCATTCCCTACAAGGGGAAGGAACGGAATTCTTAGTAGAGCTCTGGAGTACGAAGGGAGGAGAGATAGAGGATAGAAAGGACATTTCAAATTCCAACGCCTTCTTCAACCATTTAGGGAGGTTTTCCAGCTTCCACAAGGATTTCTACCCTCATGAGAGCACGAGCACTCTATTATTCTAATGGAAGGAATCTCCCTTATTAGTGTTTGACCATACTGCTACCCTTAAATTCAAAAAGAAAAGCTTGAGAAACTAATTTGGAAGATGCTTGAAGTTCGAGTTATCAAGCCCAGAGTAAGTCCTTTCTCTAATCCTGTATTATTGGTGAAGAAGAAGGATGAGAGCTGGAGGTTCTGTGTAGACTACCATGCTCTTCATAAGGAAATTGTACCAGACAATTTTCCCATACAATTCATTAATGAGCTATTATTAGTTGCATGGATCTATGATAATCTCTAAGATTGACTTGAAATCTAGGTAACACCAGATCAGAATGCGACCAGGAGATACCAATAAGATAACTTTTCGAACACACGAAGGATACTATGAGTTCTTCGAGATACCCATCAGATGCCTTAGTAACGCTCCAGCCACCTTCTAGTCTCTGATGAATATGATATTCCAGCTCTACTTGTGAAGATTTGTGTTGTTATTTTTTGACGACATATTGGTATATAGTAAGTCTCAGGAAGCACTCGGAAGCATTGAGAGTGGCTACCTTAAATGAAAACTATTGTTGCAATCAGAAAGCCTTTCTCCCAACCCAAAAGGGAGTATTATAGGACCGTGAATCTCTATGAGGTCACGATGACAAGATGACCACGAGTAAGATTCGAGGTCAATCTCAGAGATCAATACCCCAACTCTTAAAGAACTGAGAGGTTTTCAGGAATCAAAGCGTACTATAAAAAAATTTATGAAAGATAATGTTCATATTATATAATGTGTTTAGAACATAAGGTAATATATCTTTATTTATCTCTAAGTCGGGGAGAAGTCTAGTCCATCCAGTCTTGAGAGTGAAGAAGCATGACCAGTGTGGGTTGTACCAGTCTTGTGCTGTCGTCCTTAAGTCAGCAACTCTTTCTAGTGAACAGCTGCCTCGGGTTTTAGGTTAGGTAGGAAAAAATACTTATTCTTTAAGCTTGAAAACCAAATCAATTGTCTAATGTGAGCAATTTTTGTCTTGCCCGCAAAATCTACACATATGACCACACAATATATCTTATATTGGAGTTTAAAATAATAGAAAATGGTGGCAAAATACATATTTAAAATATAATATAATAATAAGATAAAACATATATTGAGTTAAACTAAAGATCAAATATTACCAAGAAATTTATGACATATTCATATATATAATTATATGCATTAAATATATCCCATCTGCCATTGAATAACGCTATGTTGGTTTTCTTATTCAAATGGAAAGTGAATAACATTCGCATTAAATATATTGCATGATGGAAGGTCATATTAGGTTGGTATAGATCAAACAGCAAATGCATAATGTAGCATTTATTCATGTAAATATTTTTACAATTAAAACATTTGTCGGGTATTTTAAAAATGGCAATGTATCTTCTTATTTTCTTTATTTAATCAAAAAATAATTTATGTTGCTTTCAAATTTAAATATATTCCAAAATTGCCATGTCAAATAAAATATCCGTCTAATTGAGTTAAGTTTATTTTTTTTTAACTCGAGCTTGAATCGAGCTCATTTACTAAACTTGTGCTCAGCTCGTCAAAAAAATTTATAGGCTCGAGCTGAGCTCGTTTGTTCTGGCTTTTTAGAAATCTCAAGTTTGACTCGATTATTGAGCTCATTTTTTAATTTTTTAATATATAATTAATTTAAAATAGTTAAAATATATTATATAATACTAATCAAAATTAATTTTTAAATATAGTTTTAGTTAATCGAGTAGCTTAGCAAGCTTATGAGCCGAGCATGGTTGAGCTCAAGCTTAAGCTCATTTAATATACGAGCTCGAGTTCGAACTCGTGGCTTGATAAGTTTGAATTGTGAGCTCGTTAATAAGTCAAACTTTAGTCGGCTCACGAGACGGTTCGACTGACTTACACCCCTATTTATACATTTTTCCATAAATTATGTGTATTATTAATGTTGCTTAAATTCATTTACTATATTTAATATGATTACATAAAATATGTAGTTTGCATACTTTTTTTAGGCTATTGACACAACTCATTTTAATAAAATGGAAAAAAATATATGCAAACATTTTGTACTTACATGAATTGGTCAATTGGTTGGGAGCTTAGGCTATCAACTAAGAGGTCTTGAATTTGAGTCTAGTGTATGCGATATGTGTGTGCGAGTTTATCTCAATTGACCTAAATGTCCCAAAAAAAATATTGTACTTAAATTTCACTTTCTATAACAGCTAATTATTATTAAGACCAACCTACAAATATTATATAGCATACTCAATTTTAATTATGCTATTTTTTTTTTTGTTATGAAAAATCATGAAACAGAGGAGGAAGAAGATGAATTCACCTAAATGATAGAGCATTTAACAGAGAGAACTATGGACGACAGAGAGGCAACAATTCTACCAAATACTGTGTAGAAGCTTAATCTCTGACGCAAAAAGAGAATGTATTTTTAAAGAAAATTGTATAATCATATTGATAATTCGGTCAAGTAATTAAAAAAAAAATCTTAATTTATAAATTGAATAAATCAACAAAGTTATAAAATTTTATTAAAGGATGCTCCCTGGTGTATGTTTTTTGCTGACAAAATTCTTCTTGTTGATACATCTAATGAGTGAGTTGAGGTAAACTTGAATTATGGAGGTCAACCTTAGAGTTTTTTTCGTTTGAGTAGATCTAAAAAATAAAAAAGAATTACGTGGAGTTTAATAGTAATAGATCGAGTTTTGTAACTTTGAGCGATCAAGTCATTAATAAGAGTTCATGTTTTAAAAATATCTTAGATCTATGTTCAAAGTGATGGTGAAATAAATGAGGATATTATTAGTAGAATTCAAGTTGGATGGATTAAATGGAGGAATGCATCTAGCTTGTGTGATAGAAAAGTACCACTCAAACTTAAGAAAAAAAAATCTATAAGATGATGGTTAGACATAGAACGCTTGATGGCACAAAATGTTGGCCATTAAAAGATAAGCATAATATTAAGTGTTGCAGAGATGAGGATGGTCAGGCGAATGAGTGGCTTTACTCTTATAAACATGATACGAAATGAGCATATATGAGAAAAAGTTAGAGTAGCTCCAATGGAGAAAAAAAGATTAGAGAGTCATCTTAGATGATTTGATCACATAAAACGACGACCTTTCGATGATCCATTTAGGAGAGTAAATGCATTAAATTTGGTTTGTGTTAAGAAAGGTACAAATAGACCTAAACTGATTTATATTATAAAATATTAGAAATGACCTTTCTTTATTAGATCTAAATGAGAGTTTGACTCTTAACATGACGCAATAGAGAAAAAAAATTCATGTAGCAACCGCACATAGTGGGATAAAACTATAATACTCTCAACAGAGCAAAAGAAAATTGCTTAAAGTCTGATCCAATAACTGAGCTAACAAAAATGTTCAGAGAACTCAATGCAGAGAATATAGAATAGAGAGAAATAGAAATACAAGCAAGGCCATAGAACATGATAACATCAACCCTATCTAATTGCCTTATTTTCCTGCTCCAAAATATGGAGGACGAATACGCCTAAGAAAATACCCATTGAAAAAAAACCATTTCAGCTAAAAAGCTTTCTTCTCATATGATACCAGGCCATGAATCCCTCCCTCGACCTGTGCTGCACCTGTTCGAACCTGCAAAGCAGAAACCAAACAAAATGAAAGTGATAGGCTAGTGGTAGAAAGTGGCTTCACTTTATCTAACTAATAAAAGGAATGAGAGAATGATTTGATCATAGAATCCCATTATCAACATAATTTTATTCATATTTCTATGGGCATAGAGCGCCTTCGTAGGAAATAATGGAAAAAATAAAGAATAGCAAAAAATTTCCTAAGCTTCTATCAATCACTCGTTATTAATCAAGACGAAGTTCAATCTATTAATCCAGCTTTCTTGCTCACTTGTACCCCTAGTCAAAACTCTGCAAACGCTCAAGCAAGCTCCATCATGATGTGGAAATTAATCGAAGCATTGAAATCCATAAGGGACAAGTTCGTTTCTTAGCTATCTAAGGCTTCGTTTGGGACAGTTTTCTTATTGCTTCTTAAAGCAGCTCTCTAGTACAAAAAAATTAATTTTTATACTAGAAAGCTGCTTTAAGAAACAATAAGAAAGCCGTCTCAAACAAAAGCCTAAATATCTGGTCAAATGTCCAAAAATAATGTAAAATTTTAAAAAAGCTTTTGGGAAATCTATTAGAATATCTTAATACAAAATTAGCAACGAGATCAATAAAAGAACATTATGTTAAGATTTACAGTAGTACTTTATTAGTTAAATGGTACCATGATGTAAAAAATCCAGTAAATATAGAAAAGGGTTCAGCTATACCTCAAGCCTTAGCACATCTGATCTTAAAAGATTATGAGCTATAGGCAACGATGTAGCACCAAGATCTTGCAATCCTTGCTTCACAGCTTGCATTGTATAAGGAATGAACTTCAAAACAGAGCCTTTGTCTGCCACAGCCCCAACCACCCCTTGGGCAACCTTCAATTTTAGATTATCGCCCAAGTAGCGGGCATCGCTACCTTTCGTCATAGCTTCAAGAGACCCCATGCCTCTATATTTCTTGACTCGGCGTCCATTCTGACAAAAATTATTTTAAACTAATATAAAAAGAAGAGACTAGTTGAGGGCAAAAATCACTAAGCAATATGCTCTCCTCATTTTAGTAGAAATGTTTTTTACACATAAAGTTAACTAACAAATAGTTAACTACAAAGAAAAAAAAATTTGTGAAAAATGAATCAACATAAATCTTGAAAAGCGCTTTCTACTAAAGGAATAAGAACAGAAAGAAGTATGAATGCAAACTAAGATTGGGGTAGATTTAGGCTTCGTTTGGGACGGCTTTTTTATTGCTTTTTAAAAAGGAATTTTAGTTAAAAAATAAAAAAAAATTGTACTAAAACTCCGTTTTAGAAAGCAATAAAAAAGCCGTCCCAAACGAAGCCTTAATGTGAGGAAATATTACAGAAGTTAATACTGATGATTGATGAAGGATATAATTAGTATATAATTATAAAGCAAAACTAATAAGTATATAATTAGCCCAATAACAAGCAATTGCATGTTCGTATGAGAAAAGATGCATTTAGAAACAAAAAAATCAGTATTTATTACCATGTATACTTTAGCTTAGTTGTACCTTATGAACAGATATTGGTAATTTGGTTCGCTAGTATTTCTAAATAACATATTCATAAATGACAATCATGTCCAATTTTCTTCACATCCAGTCGCCAAATCTATCCAAAATATACAATATATGAGTAAAATAGTAATGTTATCATGCTTGTTTTGTGTCAAGTTTGTCACCCCATATTAGCATCCATGTTCATAGGTTTTTTTGTAAATAACACCGTTACTTAAATAGAATTGAACCAAAAAACTCAAGGTAAAGCCATAGAGATAAATGACATACCTGATACTCATAGATTCCAGGTGCCTCATAACTACCGGCAAGGAAACTACCCATCATTACCGTAGAAGCACCGAGTACCAAAGCCTTCACAATATGACCAGAGTACGAAATCCCTCCATCGGCAATAACAGGTACATCATAATCCTTGGCCAATGTTGCAACCTTGTATACTGCTTTTGCCTATAAGAATCAAAATATATTCATATAATAATCTACCAAAAATAGTTCCCAAATGAAAAAAAAAAAAATTTGTGGAGCAACCCAAGTGTCATATAAACATGCATTTGATGTTTAATATTTGGGTGACGAGTGAGAAAAAAAATCAGATAACAAAAAAATTCGATATAAGTATTAACGAATTAGTAAAATGAACCTGAACTTAATAACAACCGAAAGCCAAACCATTCTTAATTCTTTTTAGAATGTAACTAGAACAACAAATAAAGCGACATCTCTCATGAAAATTGGGGAAAAATTAAAAATTATTTCAATGTAAGTGTAACAATAATTAGGTCTCACTTTCAGACATGAATTCAAATACTAAATAGATAGATAAGAGCACTCATTCTATAAAGTCACCTCAAAAGGATGAGTTTTAGTCTTGCAGGCTAAGAAGCCACATTCAAGTTTATTTTTTTATCTTTAATAATAGAACAACATTTACATTATGAAATCATGGGAATATTTCTTTTGATCCCAAATAATAATGAATAATAATAATAATAAAAATAATAATAAGAATAATAATAATAATAAGAGAGTGATACAGTAAAAGCTCATTGGAGTTCAACTTAAAATATGAATTGATTTCATAAGAAGTGAAATCTTGAACAAATATATATCATTGAAGCTCATTTCAATATGACTCACTTCTTGAGCAAAGATGCAAACATTTTTAAATACTAACAGTGAAACAAATTCACCCTAGCCATAGAATTAGTAGGATACGACATCTTTTGGAGTAAAAAATACCCCACCACCACCATTGCCCACCTCCTTTTTATTTTTATGCAATACAGCATTTATATCTTTCAAATACTAATTTTGGCATTAGAATAATTATACAATTAGGATCTCTATGAAGAAATATTATGCTCTGGGGCGACAAGAAAGCCATATCTCACAAAGCAAAGTAATACTCATCTGCTGGAACAACTTGCAAGTCACTTACGAATAACAATTTTTACAACAATAGGCTAGCAAAGGAAGAAAATTATAAAACGCAAGACAATTCATTTATGAGAAGATAGGAAGCACAAAACTAATCATTGTCATGTTCATGAAGTCTAATTTCCCTAGCAGTTTTGTTTGAAAGATGATGCGTCGCTCTAAAATCAATCAAGTATTTCAATTAGTGGAAATATTTAAAAAAACAGTAATGAGACTATCATAAGAATATTCTCTAAAAAAATTACCTGCCCTCTTCCAACTGCACAAACTTCCTGTGTGGTGCAGATTGAACCGGATCCCATCCCTACCCTTAAACCATCAACTCCAGCCATGATCAAATTGTGCGCCTGGGCCATCGTCACCACATTACCCCCAATTACATCAAGCCTGGGATAATTATTCTTTGCATATTTTATCAAATCAATTTGATACTTCGAGTTACCCTGTGAACTATCCACCACAACAACATTCACACCTGCTCCCACCAAATGTGCCAGCCTCTCCTTATCCTCTTCTCTAGTTCCTATAGCTGCCCCGACCAGAAATTTTCCATCAGGGCCCAATGATGGCACTCCAAGCTTCGGGAAGCCACGGATCCGCTCCACATCCTCTGTGCTGACGAGATCAATAACCTCCCCTTCCTCTCCGGCCAGCGTCACCAGCTCCAGTTCCTCTCCAGCTAGAAAACCCGCCACTTGTTCCAAATCATAATTTGAAGGGACTGAAGCCGGCGGAAGTCTCATGTAGTCTGACACGGGAGAAGCCTTATCGGCCACCGCCTCCCAGTCCGACCGGGAAACGACACCTACGGGCTTCGATTTACGGCTTCCGGATTCCGTGACTATAGCGAATGAAGCGGAGCCGAAATCGGCAGTGGAAGACACTGCATCAGATGGGGCGAAGAAGGCCGGGTCGGAGGCGAAGGGGATGCGACGGGACTTGGCGGATCGGACGATGGCGGCCTGATGATCGGGTGTGGCGTTGCAGTGGACGATGGCGGCGCCGCCGAGGGAGGCCATGGCGACTGCCATGGATGCCTCGGAGACTGTATCCATGGGGGAGGCGACGCAAGGGGTGGAGAGCGGGAGATTGCGGGAGATGCGGGTGGATAGGTCGACAGCGTCGGCAGGAAAATCGATGTAATGCGGGAGAAAGATCAGATCGTCGAAGGTGTAGGAGAATTTGCTGGCGAAGAGTCGGGAGGCAGGAAAGCCGTCGTCGAACTCGACCACCACCGATGCTCCGTTCATGTCTCCCATGCTAGGTTTAGTGCAGGGCTTCTGGGATTGAAGGAGATGTTGGTTAATAATTAGGCGGTGAGGCGGCAGGGTTAGAACTTAGAATAGAGCCTATTAGGTAACGGGAGTCACGAGCTCCAACTTCTGACGGCGGGAATTTTTTTTAATTTCTTTGTGATAAGATATGATTATATATTAGTATATAAAAATATAGTAAGAAAAAATTAATCAAACTCAGTCTCAAAAATTATATTCGAAGTTTTCAATCAATATAAATTACTTCTTTTTACTCACACACATAACTTATACACATAACATATTCTAATTCAAGATATCTTCATTGATATTAACAGTTCTTACTAACAGATCAATTTTAATTGCATATAAAATATTATTAAAAAGCACATTAAAATTGAGAGATTGCCTTGCACCTCAATGTTCATCAATACTCTAATCGAAGACAATAAGTATATCTTTGCCCGAGAAAATAATTTATGTAAAACTTAAATGATAAGAAGAAGGTCGACAAAAATATCAAAATACCTTGACAAGAGCTAGGTGGTCCAAAACAATCACATAATTGATTGAACAAGGGACATGAAAAGAATATATGGAACCAACAAAAAAAGTTACTTTTCAAATAAAATTGGAGCTTATCTTACCTCTGTACCAATCAACTAAGATCATTTATATGTAAACAAGCAACACGAATCCAATAATATGTTGACATGTGGATGTGAATTTTTTTAATATAATCTTTAATTTAATTTATATCATCCTGCCCCGACCCGAGCTTGCCCACTATTTTTTCATTTTAAACGTAAGGTTGGCGCTATCTTTAGAAACTCGCCAAAGATCTAAATTCTTATTGCTTGTGCTTGGTACTGAAGAAAAAAACGAGCTAGAAAATTGCATAAAAGAGATGGAATGTCTCCGAAGAGAGAGGAGGAAGGATTGCATGAATCTGAAATCAACATAGATGGAACTTCAGCAGGTTTCAACATATCGTTAAGTTTCAATCTCATCGCAAGTTGTATTAAGAATATACTTTTTGAAATTTATAAAACAAAGCTGGGTAGAAACAGGGCATCAATTGTTCAGCAGGTTTCAGCTTATTAGAGGCTCAGGGTCTTAGAAGAGCTTTTAGGGTTTAGATGAAAAAGTAAATGAGCTCTTAGATATTGTATTCATCTCTCAATAATTTTTTAATTTACTAAAGCTGAAGAACATGATTTTTAGGGTAGGTAAAGATAAGGATGATGTGCTTCACGTGCGCTTTAGGTGAGCTTCTAATGTGCTTTATGTGCGCATTAGATGCGCTTTAGGTGCATTTTTGTTGTGCTTTATTATCTTTGCTTTTTATTTTAGGCTATGTATAAAGATGAGAGAGAAGCATATGAGTGTTATTATGCTTATGCCCATGATAATGGCTTTAGCGTTCAGAAGGATCATCACAGTTTCTGACTAAATTCTAGAAAGATAAAATCCAATGATTTTGTCTGTTCAAAAGCTGGTTTTAAGAAAGGTATTGATTTGGATTATAATCTCACGATTTATTAACAAACAAAGCATCACTGGACATAACAGATATAAGCACCTCAATAAGAGGTGTAACAACATTATTATCCACAGGATCAAAACCATCAGAAGAAGAAACACATAACAGATATAGGCACCTCATACAGTAAACCCTAAACCCTAGATGAAGTTCAACAAAAAGCAACAAATTGCGCAAATACAAAATAGTTCATTAATGACAGTTGGAAATGCCAAACAAAAACCTATAACAAAATATAAATGCACAACCTTTAAATAAAGCGCAAGTAAAGTGCACATAAAGCTCATATACAGTAAACCCTAAATCCTAGATGAAGTTCAACAAAAAAGCAACAAAAAACGCAAATACAAAATAATTCATTAAAGATGGTTGGAAATACCAAACAAAAACATATAACAAAATACAAATGCGCAACCTTTTCAAAAATGCGCAAGTACATCACAAGTAAATACGCAATAGAGGATCAACAATGGCGCAACTTCTCTAGTACCTTTCCTAAAATACAGACTTTTCCCAACTTCGTCTATCGATGACGATGTCTTAGAGAATGAAAATGTTGATGGATTTAAAGAACTGCTAAGAATCGATGTGGAAGAGTATGGCAAGTATGGATGAAATGTTTTGTGTCTTCATATTTTCAAATAAAAAAAATTCCACGTGGAAGTTCCACAAGTCAACATATTATTGGCATTCGAACGCAGAGTTAGGTTCGGTGATCGGACCTAATAATTTTTCCCCGTTCATGGCTCTAATGCTAGGTGAGGCGGTAGGATTAGAATTGAGGCTTTTTTATCCTACTAGGTATCAAATAACACGTGCTCGATCCTCAGACGGAGGGAAATTTATTTTTTTCTTCATGATAAGATTTTTTTTTTTTTTTTTTTTTTTTTTTTTTTTTTAAAATTTTTTTTTTTTTTTTTTTTTTTTTTTTTTTTTTTACAAAAAGGTATTACAATCAATAAAATGAGGATACAAACAAGTCCAAAAGGGATTAAACCAAAATACAATTCAATAATGAGTAAAAAAAGAGACATTAAAAAGAGAAGGAAACAAATGCCAACCGAGCTCAATCATTGTCAAGAAGTTATTTGCAATCACAAAGAAGTTAGACAAGGATCAACAAAATGAGGAAGCAAGCAACATACCACAAAATCAAGACGTCCAAATGCACCACCAGTGGTTGCTAACAAACCACAGCAGGCCAAAAGGTGAACAGAAAATCACCACATCATTTCCCAGGCCACGAAGAAAAAGGAACAACCTCAAGGGCAAGCCCCCAATTACCACCAAACAGAAAGATGACCCAATCCAAAAAGAAAATCATTTTTTTTTATTTACGTTGTTCACGCTTAGCACTCTTTTTAGAAACACCTCCTCAACAAATTGAATAATACTTAAATCAAAATTATCTCGCAAATCCAAATGTTTCTCAATAATTTCCTCCCCACCGTCTAAAGAATTGTCATTAATTATCTAACCAGTCACTATGTATCACCTTATAATCTCTTGATTTATTAACAAGATGAGCAAACAAAGCATCACTGGACATAATATATATAGGCACCTCAATAAGAGACGTAACAACATTATTATCCATAGGATCAAAACCATCATAAGAAGAAACACTTAAACGAGCGGGAGAATCCAAAGCATTACCAACCTCACCACTATCAACAGGCACAAGCTCACCAACTTGATCACTCACCTTTGGGACCAACTAGACTCTCCAAATCATTAGAAAAGTCATGAACCACTTCCATATTAGCCTGACAAAGTTTGAAATTCGGCTCTTTCACAATATCCAAATCCATTGGGTGAAGGAATCAACTAGCAAATTCCCTCACCACCAGTACAAACCAAATCCTTACAAGCAGAGCAAACATTAGAGCCATCATTGAAAACCACCAGATCATTTAACGAAGGATTAGAGACTTCTTCACGACAAGATATGATAATATACCATTATATAAACATTTGAGTAAGATATATTAACTAATCTCATAGTCTCAAAATTTATATTCAAAGTTTTCAATCAATATAAATTACTTTTTTTACACACATAACATATACACAAATTAAGCTTCAAATTCAAGATATCTTAATTGATAATCAAATTTCTCAACTAATGGATCAATTATAATTGATATAAAACATTATTAAAAAGCATACTACAGTTGAGAGATTGTGTTGCACCTTGAAGTTCATTAGTACTCTAAGAGAAAGATATAAGTATACCACTGCCCAAGAAAATAATTTAAGTAAAACATAAATGATTAGAAGAAGTTCGACAAAATATCAAAATACTTTGACAAGAGCTGGGTGGTAAAAAATAATCACCTAATTGATTGAACATGGAGCATGAAAAGCATATATTGAACCAACAAAAATAGCCACTTTAAAATTGTTGAATGGAGCTTATCTTAACTCCACACCAATCAACTAAGACCCTTTATAAATAAACAAGCAACACGAAGCCCATAGCATAAACTCTAGTAAGCCAATATATAACTGGGCAGTATAAAAATTTAAAATATTAAACCATGAGCCAAAAAAACAAAAAAGAATTTCATATTGCAGCAAACCATATAAACAAAAACCAACTCCTAAGGTGATGCATCTTAAAAGAGAAGACATCTTTAGTATTAAATCCATTAGCAGTAGTAAATATAGTAGATTGAATTGCACATCCTCTAAACCACACCATCTTCTTCCAATTAATCTCCAACTCATAATCATAAAGTAAGGAAAATAAAGATTTATGCTTCATTTGGGACAACTTTTTTACTGCTTCTTAAAGCAGCTTTGTAGCATAAAATTTTTAATTTTTTAAACTAAAAAATTGTTTTAAGAAGCAAGAAAAACGCTGTCCCAAACGGAACCTTAATCAACCAACATTAAGTAGAGGAGTTGATGATAATCACAACATCAAGGATATATTATGAGCTTCTATGATAATTTTGATTAGAGGGTGGTAAAAAGGTGAATAAGTTATTGAACATTAATTTCAAAAAAATAAATAAATAAATAAATAAATGAAGGATCTCTCATTTAACCATGGTTAATGGATGAGAAGTACATTGCAAGTTTCATTAATCTTGAAGACTATCTAAAATTGAATTTTCCTAGCCACCTCACAAACAAATTTCTAGAAATAAGTGGCTTTGTTGTTATGTTTACCCCAAAGTGAATCATAATTACAAAGGAATTATGGAGAAAAAGAGAGATTGTGAAACTCATAAAGTTTCCTTATCAATTTGCATTTGCTCTGGAGGTGAATGTTATTATTAAGGGAGATTTACATACCACCCTATAATACTCTACTTACATATTTAATACCTAAAACTTTAATATTACATACATACTACCCGTAGTTCATTTTCATATTAAATATGAGTGGTAAAAATAAAATATATGAGTGGTTGGAAGGAAATATCAGTGGTATATTTGATATTAAAATAATATAGAGTGATATGTATGTAATATTAAAGTTTTGGATGTTAGATATATAAATAGGATGGTATAAAGTGGTATGTATGTAAATTTCCCATTATTAAATGTCAGTTTAAGACCCCAATTGGTG